GCGCGCCCCCCCCCCCGCCCTTTCAGCCTTGCTCCTGGCCGGGGCCACACCCAGTCTGGCCCCCGCATCCGCAAGGGAACACCTTCCCCCCACAACGCAGCTGAAGCCAGTATCCATCCGTGTCCCACTGAGTGCCTGTCTGGCCAGACTCGGCTCACCGGGAGACAAGTGTTCAGTTCTGCTCCGTGCCTGGTCTCACCTGACCACTCCCTCCCCTGCGTCTGCATCCGGTCTAACCCTGGGGAAGTGGCGCCGTGTTCTTCTTGGCTCAGGCCCAGCTCAGGCCCGGCCTTGTCCCTCTGCCACGACGTTGCTGATGAATGGTAGGATGTCCTCTCCACACACGCATAATACTGTCCTTTAAGGTCTTCTAAGGAACTCCCATCCTGATCGCTGCCGAGGGTACCTGATATCTAGTTGGAACTAGGGATGCCAGCCTCCAGGTGGGACCTGGAGATCCCCTGGGATTACTGCGCATCTCCATACTCCAGAGATTAGGTCTCCTGGAGAAAATGGCTGTTTTGGAGGGTGGACTCTATGGCATTGCACCCCTCTGAGGTCCCCGTCCTCCTCATGCTCCATCCCCAAATCTCTAGGAGTTTCCCAACCTGGATCTGGCAACCCTCCCCTCCCCATCTCCCGCCGGTGGCCGGGGGGGTGACCTGGCAACCCTAGTTGGAACCAGGGGTCATTTCCCGCGGGAGCACACAGGAGCAGAGCTCCAGCAGTAAAGAGCCCAGGGGGCGGGCACATGCAACAAGCCACACCCCCTGCTCCCAGCAGCCCTCAGTCAGAGCAAAAAGCAGCCAGGTAAGTTGCAGAGCCCCCCGGTCCAAAACAGTCCAGTAACATCTTTAAGACCAAGTTTTATTCAGGTACAAGCTCTCCCTCCTCTGTGAGGGCAGATCTGCGCGTCCCCCCCCCCCAATAGCTAGCAATCCAAAACAGTCCAGTGGAGCCTGAGCGGTGGGTGTTGCCTTCTGACACACTTCCGGTGATGTCAGGGGGTGTGGCATATGCAAATAAGTTATGCTAATGAGTTATGCTAATGAGCTCCTGCACCTCTTTTTCTACGAAGTGACCCCTGGTTGGAACACCCCCTGTCTGTAGAACTCCTTATCCGGGGGGGGGGGCACATCAGACCTCTTCCCTCACCCTTTTAAAGACGACAGGCTGTAACTATTATTTTAAAGGGAGGCTTTTGCATTGCTGAAAGCAAAACTGAAGAATTATTGGAATGGCCGGACAAAAGTTTTCATCCCTTTGTTTCTGTCGTGACGTGTTGCTCCCTTTTATGGACAGGGGCTCATCATGTTTTGATAAATATTTGCTTTCCCCCCCACCCCAATGGTAATACTTTTAATCGGCGAGCCCTTTCAGGAGCTCCTCCCGAGCGGCAGAAGGCCCAACCGCTAGCTAAAACTTTTCCACTCTTACGTTCCGTGCCTAGGTTACCGAAGGGCATGATCATCCAAGCCTCTGGATCTACCGAAGGGAAGGAACACCCAAGCCTCTGGATCTAGGACTGCCCATAGGCAGCTGCTTGCTCGGGTGAAAAATCCTCGCATGGTATTCTTAAGTTCTTCAGCTCCCAAGGGGGCTATTTTGTACCACCAGCCCTAAAACTTTATAAGGCCAAAACACTTGCCCAGATGCTCTACGGAACACTGCTTGGAGCGCCTCCATCTAGCTATGCTCCTTTGGAGCTAGTTCAATTGAAATTTTTGAGAGCAGTACTCCAAGTTCCGAGATGCGTATCTAATGCAATGGTACGGCTAGAGACTGGCATGCTGAAGGTTGAAGCCATGATTGCCTTATACTCCATCTTCTATTGGCTGAAGATTAATTTGAACCCATGTGGACTAGTGCCCCTGATTCTGTCTGATGCCTTTGAATCTAATTGGCTGATTTCTGTTAAGCGGAAAATCTCGCTCTTGGGGTATTCTCCCTCAGCGCTTTTGGAGATGGGTAGGGACCGGGCTAAGTTAGAAATTAGACAGAGGATCAAGGATACCGAACGCCAATTAGATCTACAGGTGTCCCCAACATTTATAGTGCCAATTAGTAACAAATACATCGTTGCGCAGGCCCCATATCTTAAAGTTTTGGAGTCCCATAAACTCAGGAGGGCATATACTCTGGCTAGATGCTCGGCCTTACCCTCTGCAGTTCTCGAGGGTAAATTTAAAAAAATACCCCGAACAGAGAGGCTATGCTTATGTGCGTTGGGGGAGATCGAATCCCAGGAACACATATTCCTGAGATGCCCGTTATTTGAAGAGGCTCGTACTAAACTTATTGATCCCCTTCTGGCAGGCACTTCGGATCAGGAGAAGATAGAGAACTTGTTTCTTAACCTTGAACATACAGCGCTCCATCAGATTGCGAAATTTTGTTCCTTGGTGGTAGAAGTGCACCAGCGTGATGGTTGTCACTCGGGTTAGGACTGTTTGATTTTAACTGGTACCGTTCCTTTTGGGACTATATTTTATTCTTTTATACTATACTGTGCTTTAAGGCAGCGTGTTTATAGTTTGGTCCTAACGAACGTAACGTTTACAATGTTAGTTCTTTTTAGCTTGTTGAATTTTGGAAATTTTACTATCTGGCCATTGTAATTTATCTATTCTGGTTTTATATTGCTGGCTAATCGCTGCTACAATAAATTCATTCATTCATAGGTTACCGAAGAGACGTGCAGAATCCTGGAGAGCCTGGGATACGCCTGCGAATGCCGCGGACTCATTAACGTCAAGGGGAAGGGGGAGCTGAGGACTTACTTTGTCTGCACGGACACAGCCAAATCGCAAGTGCTTTGACTCGGAGGGGGAAACGGTGGAAAGCTTGTGGTCGTTATCGTCTCTCTCGTTCGTGTTTTTGAACGAACTTCCCTTCTGTGAAGCCTGAGAACTTTGCCTCCTCATGTGAAGGAGCTTATTCCAAAGTGCCCTGTGAAGGGTGCTGCCGCATCTCAAGAACGTGCTCCGGCTCAGAGTACGGGAAGCTTTTGAAGGATGTTTACAGTCGCATCTGCCCATTTCCGGGCGAGTTCGGGAAATTTCTCGTCAACGGATTATTTCCCTCCTTTCCCTGCCAACAAGGGAGATATAATGTGCTCCCCCCGAGCACATCTTTGTGGATTCGGAGTTGAACGTTTGACTGCCTCTTCCTTCGTCAGACTGCTGAACAGTATTGTAGGACAGAAGAAAAGACGCCTGACTCTATATATAAAAAAAACAACCCCTCGTTTTGGGATACCTTTTCTGCGTAATACATTTTCCTGGACAGAAGATGACAGGATCGGAAGGAAATGTCATCTGAAGAACTTTCAGAAGACTGTGTGATAAACTCCACTAGTTATGTATTGACCTGGACGTGTTAGCCTTTTCTAAATGGTAACAGTCACAGGGTTTGCAGTGGTGGACACCAAGTGGCTGATGTCTGGATGGTATTGTTGGTTGTGTAGCCACACCCCCTTTTCCTCTTAAGTTGCACCTGCTGAGTATTGACCTGCTCACTTTGAGCATTCTTAGATGGACCCGTCAGACCATTACGTAGCCCAGTGCCATCGACTGACTGGCGGGAATTTCTCTCGCCTGTCCTTCTCAGCTTGAGATCTTTTTAGCTGGAGATTCGAGGGATTGAAATTGGTATCCTGTGCGTGCCAAGCGTGTGCTTCGCTATTCTGGGCTCTTGTGCCACGGCTCAGTCCTGCTATCTAAAAGACAGCACTGCCAGTATTATCCACAACTGGACATCAGTCCATCTCGCTTCCGTAAGATGGCCCTTGCTTTGCCGTGGTCACGCACACCTGCTTGCTTTCACCTCCTTTTATGCTGCCCCTTGTATAGTAGCACTCTACAAGTAAGGAGAGGGAATACAAAACCAGTATCACACCAGCAGTTCCTGTGGCAAGCTTTAGGGGTTGGATCCGGAACAAAATTTCAGGACAGGCTGGAGTTCTTGTGCAAGCGGAAACACCAGGAAAAGACCATGGTAGCTGCGCTAAGTCAAACTTAGTGTAGCCCCATTTGTGTTCCCGCTTGTGTGAGATCTCGCACAACCGATTTCTGGGCTCTGTAATGCCTAGGGAGGAAAGCGGTAGATGTAGCACGTGGTCTTGCATCAGTTCCGAAAACTTGATCCTGAAGTATTTTCGCTGAGAGACCTTTTGTAAAAGGAAAAAGAAACTGCTACCAAGCCCTACAAGTGTGTGTGTTGGGTGGGTGGGACTGTAAGTTATGTTCCACGTGAAAAACATAACAGCACTGACTCACGCAGCTATTTGGCTGGTTCGGTTACTTGTCTTTTGGGGGAGAGAGACAAATTGCATTGAAGTACTTAGGAATTGTCCTCCAGGCCAGATGGGCCCAAGGATCCTGGAGGCTTTTTTACCTTCCCCTGGCCAGAGCAGGGGTCAGTGGGGATAGCTGTGAATTTCCTACATTGTACAAGAGGTGGGGCTGGGTAACCCTGGGGGGGGGGGTCTGTTCCAGCTCTCTCTTTCAATTTTACTTTATAAACAAGAATATCATGAAAACCATGATGTTCGTTTCTAAGCAAGAATACCATGAAAAACTTTTGACATGGTTGTTTTTCCCCCCTACATGTGGTTAAGTATCCATCGGCTGCATTTGTGTTTAGATTCTGCAGGATGCTTTTTTAAGTAGGTATAATCCTAGTTGATCCAGCAGCCTCTTTTATGCAGCCCACTTGCTTGGGGGGGGGGTGAGTTTACTGAAACCCAGCTGAAGCCGACGAGACGGTCTCCCAAGACTTCTTCCAGATCTGAGGATTTGGGACTTTTGTTACCGTTCGATTCTAGCTTTTTGGAGCGTGACCGACCGCAGAGTTTTCCGATGTGCTTTGCCTTGTAGCGTTCGTTATGATTACCATGTAATTAAATTGATGCAGGGGCTCGAGCGCCTGTTTTGGGACAGGAACAAATCTCTTCTAGTGGGGGGGTCCTTCTGCAGAGTCACAACTTTTGAGAGTCTTAGTTGAATAGAGTAGGTTACAGTGGGAAGGAAAGAGACAGACAGGACTACAGGGAAGCATCCACGATTGCCTTCTGGTAATAGCAGCAGGATAATGTGAATTATGTAATACATCGCTTCCAGTTGTGTGTTTGCATTAGGTTGTTTTTTAAAAAAAAATAACATACAGATGTCAGAATGCTTTTAAAGTTCATCTGCATTAGTCTGAAGGGTCTGTGTTTGCTCACTAACTATTTGGGACTATTTGTTACGATTGGTACTAATCTATGAAGCACATGCCAGCCACAGACAGCGAAGTGCGAAACGAAGGCATTAATTTTTTTTGTTTTACTGCTTCTGTTCCTGTCGTGCTGCGTTAAGGTAGCTTTGCTGAGCTCCGCGTTTCCTATTTCAAGGTTATTACCTTAAGTTAAAAAAGCAAAACAAAACTGGATTAAAACCTAGGGTGTTTCTGTTTCCTAACTGCTGTTTTCATTATGGTCGTCTTTAATTTGTGGATTCTAACGGCGGCTGCCCCTGGCCTAGACGGCCCCAGGCTAGCTGGATCGCATCAGCTCTCGGAAGCCAAGCAGGGTCAGCCCTGGTTAGCGCTGGGATAAGAGACCACCGAGAAAGTGCAGGGTTGCTATGCAGAGGCAGGCCGGGGCAAACCACCCGTTAGCCTCTTGTCTAAAAACTGTACAGGGTTGCTGTAAGTTGGCTGCGACTTGATGGCACGGCTGTGTGAAACATAGCCAAACAAAACTGCCATCAGCCAGTTCACACATATAGACTATGGTTTCCAGCCTCCAGGTGTCGCCTGGAAATTTCCCACTGAAGAAGAAGAAATTGGATTTACACTCTATCATTCACCCCGAGTCTCAGAGCGGCTTACAAACTCCTTTCCCTTCCCCTCCCCACAACAGACACCCTGTGAGGTAGGTGGGGCCGAGAGAGCTCTGACAGAAACTGCTCTTTTTCAAGAACAGCTCAGACAGAACTGTGGCTTGCCCAAGGACATCCAGCAGCTGCAAGTGGAGGCGTGGGGAATTAAACCCGGTTCTCCCAGATTAGAGTCCGCGCACTTAACCACTACGCCAAACTGGCTCTCCACACAACCAAGATCAGTTGCCCTGGAGATAATGGCTGCTTTGGAATGTGGACCCCCTACAGCATTATACTCTGCTGAGGCCCCGCCCCTGAGGCTCCGCCCCCAAAATCTCCTGGTGTTTCCCAGCCCAGAGCGGACAACCCCTAGTACAGCCAGAGACAGGACAATCCATTTGGCTCCTCGAGACAGCAAATTGTGTTGTTACTTCTGAAACATCCCCCCCCCTCAAAGGTAGCTCAAAGCTACACTCTCACGCCACCTAATGGTAGTTGTGTGGGCCCGAATATGTCACTTGAGCGGACACCCCTTAAAAAAAAAAAAAGCTATGGGGCCGCTATGAGGTCATAGAAAAGTTCTCTTTGGAGTGTCAACAGGCTGATGATGCGAGAGTCCCCCCAGCGCACACTGTGGAAGATTGACTCTGACCCTGTTTTCCCATGAAATTCAATCCAAAGAGCGCCTCAGAGCCGACAGTAGAAAAGGAGGCTCGGGGTTTTAAATTTTTTAATAAGAATGCAGAAATGTCCCCCACACGCAATAGTAACACAAAGGGGGGGGGGCAGTACATGCTTCAGGACAAACGTTGTCATCCCCCCCCCAACATACACACATGCAATTTATATTTAGAAACTGTTCTAAAGCATCAGGTGGCAAGTGCTTCACAATCAATGGGAATGGGAGTTTTTGACGGTTCCGGCACATCTGGAGGGGAAAGAAATCCAACACAACAATCATGTCACCACCACTTTGCTTATTTTGGCTAAGGAGCACACTTGACTAGATTCCTGACTACAACTTGTCACCTTGAGCTTGGCAAATGTTATTGAAACTGATGCTCCGTCTGTTCAGTCTTACCCACAACTTAAAGCCCTTCCCAGCCTTGGGCCTACATACTTCAAAAACTGTCTCCTTCCCTCTATCCCGTTTGCCAGCTATCTGTTGGGTCATCCTACCGTTTAGGGTGGCCCATCTGGAACCGACCAGCACCCAGGGCCTTCCCCATCGTGGCACCAGCTCCGTGGAAGGGGCTCCCTGAAGAAGTGATAGGGGCCCTCTCCTTAGAGAACTTCAGGAGGTGCTAAGACTCTGGTTACATGCCAAGGCTTTTGAAAGGGTGCAAACAGCAGGCGTCTTTTTTTTAAAGGGCAGAAAGATTCAGAGTGTGCTTCCCCCCCCCCCTTTTTAACGGAAAAGGTAATATTGTTGTAAGCTGCCTTGAACCACAAGATAGGAAAGGTGGGATATAAATATTGCAATAAATAACATGAATCAATTAGAACACAAGAAAGTAAGAACCAATGCTCCCTCTAAGCTGTGGGGTCTTGTGAGCTACTGGCATTAAAGCTGTGAGTGAAGGAGAAGAGATTGGATTTATACCCCGCCCTTCACTCGGAGTCTCAGAGCGGCTTACAAACTCCTTTCCCTTCCCCTCCCCACAACAGACACCCTGTGAGGTAGGTGGGGCCGAGAGAGCTCTTTCCAGAACTGTCCTTGAGAGAACAGCTCTGACAGAACTATGGCTTGCCCAAGGTCATCCAGCAGCTGCAAGTGGAGGAGTGGGGAAACAAACCCAGTTCTACCAGATTAGAGTCCACGCACTTAACCACTGCACCAAATTGGCTACTGCATAAATTAGTTTGCTCTGGAGCCATCCTTCCTGAGCTAAGACAAAAAGGTGTGAGCCAGAGGTTATAAACTGTGAGCTAGCTCACACTCAGCTTAGAGGGAACACTGGTAAGAATCCACTTCAGGGCCAGGGGTTAAGAAAAAATAATTGCCGAATTAATACTTAGTAATACGGTATGTTAAGCATCTCAAAGGCTATAAATCATAACTGAAGTATAAGGCTAGCTAATATTATCTTTGGGCTGCGGTGGCTCAGTGGTTAAGACGCTGAACTGTAGACCGAAAGGTCGGTAGTTCAGCAGTTCGAGACCTGAGTGCCGCATGACGGAGTGAGCGCCCGTCTCTGGCCCCAGCTCCTGCCAACCTAGCAGTTTAAAAGCAAGAAATTGCAAGTAGATAAATAGGTACTGCTTCAGTGGGAAGGTAACAGTGTTCTGTGCGCCTCGGCGTCTAGTCACGCCAGCCACATGACCATAGAAACATCTTCAGACAGCGCTGGCTCTTCAGCTTGGAAACAGAGATGAGCACCACATCCCTAGAGTCAGATCTGACTGGCTTTTGAGGAAGGGAAACCTTTACCTTTACTATTATCTTTACATCGTGGATGGTGGGGCTGAGGCTAACAGAGCTTGTCTTGTCTATTACCCCCCCCCCCCCCCCCCCAGCACGTTCATGGCAGAGCCAAGACCTGAGCGGCCTTTCTCATCTGTCGTTCAGATTCTTTCCCGTTCGTGTGCAGCAACGGGAAAAAGTGGGGTTCGGTGCAGTTTTTAAGCCTGGAGATCTAGGCTTGAATGACAGCAGAAAGCAAAAGCCTAAAGTCTATTCCTGAGTTTTGTTGGGTCTGCGTGTTCAGTTCAGAGGGCTGATATTCAGAGCCTCCCTACTTGAAGGCAGAAAACCTCTGAAGCCCAGTGCTTAGGAGGCAGCTTTGAGAGAAGGCCTTGGCCTCCATGCCCTGTTTCTTGGCCCTTCAGGCCAACTGGCTGGCCACTGTGTAAAACAGGACAGACCACTGGTCAGATCCAGCAGGGCTCTTCTTCTTACGTAATGCGGTCACTATACGGAGGCCGCTTCAGTTTGTTCCATGTGAGGAACTCACTCGTGCCTGTATGGTGCCTGCAAGGACCAATCTCTACAGGGAAGGTGAAATGTGCTCTGGCTACTCACCATCGGTCAGGTCGACAGAGTTGTCTCCCGTGTCCCTTAAAGGGATTGAAATCCCCATGGCCTTCCGGATCCCGTATGTGCTCACGATATCGCCCGGAGCCACTTGCTGGGCAAGATCTTTTAGATTATTGGTCACTCTCTCAGCTGGAAAAGATACAAGAATTAAAAGGCGTGGCTTATTATAAGCTTCATTTAAACTGATCCCTTTTGTGGGGTGCCTAAATGCAACCTGGAAGCCCTGCAGTTGGGCGACATGAAACTCTGTTTTCTTAGCACTGTAAGTCGCACGTTCCTGCCCTCTGAATATGAGACGGTTAAGAATATGAGCTAGAGGGCAAGATGCAAACACCATTCCTCAGGACTACAGTTCTAAGTATGCTAACCACATGGAAGTAAGCTGTACTGAATTCAATAGAATTTTAAAAAGCACACTGCGTAAGAAGACAGAGGACCACTGCAATCACAGCAACATTTCCTAACATTTCCACATAACATTTCCTAAGGGTGCAAGCCCTCCTAATTTCTAAAAAATGTTATCCAGGGGGTAGCACGTAACTCCAGGTCCTACCCACCCGAAGATAAATGGCGACAAAGCGCATGAGAATGAGATAATTTCTGCTCTCTGATCACCAGGGCCGACTCGCCTAGGGTGCGCCAGCCCTCAGGGGCGCCAAACTGCGCCCCGCCCCCCGCCGCCATGGGAAGGGGCCAGGAAGGAGAGCAGGGCCGGTCTGCTGCCAAAAGCCCTGAATGATGGCTTCCCTGCTGGGCCCTGCCGCAGGAGGAGGAGGAGGTGGCGGCGGGCGAGCGAGCAGAGGCGGGAAGTGCTGGGGGGTTGCGCCCTGCGGCAGCTGAGCCCCCCCTCCCAGCGAGAGAGAAAAGAAAGGCGTCGGGGATCGAGGCCCTGGTCTCTGCCTGCCCGCCCCTCTCGCACACTCTTAATCTCTGTCTCTCTGCGCCGGCGAGGCGGGGAGGGAAGCAGGGGAGGGAGGAAGGAAGGAGGGACGCCGCCAGTAGGAGAAGCAGGAGGACACCCGGTCGGGGTGCAGGAGGCGGCGCCGCAGCTCGCCCGCCCTCCCCCCCCATGGAGGAGGAGGCAGAGGTGGCATGGCGGCGGCCAGCGGGGACTCGCCGCCACCAGCAAGAGAAGCAGCAGGACGCCCAGCCAGGGCGCAGGAGGCAGCGCCGCAGCTCACCTGCCCTCCCCCCTCGGGGGGGGCGGCATGGCGGCTACCAGCGGGGACTCACCATTTCTGTCAGCAGGAGAAGTAGGAGGACGTCTGGCCGGGTCGCAGGAGGCGCCGCCGCAGCTCACCTGCCCTCCCCCTCACCCCTGGGAGGGGAGGAGGAGGTGGCAGCAAAAGGGTCTCCAGGCCTCACCGGGAGGTTGGCATCTGCGCCTCGCCTAGGGCGCAGAAACACCTCGAGCCGGCCCTGCTGATCACTCCGCGGGAGACAGAGGGCTTTCCCGCATTTGATATTTCCTCACCTGTGACTGTATTATGTCTCCCCCCTTTTCTGCATGTTTGTGGCTCCCTCTAGTGGTCACTTCAATATTTCATCGCTGTATATCTGTTTTATTTACAAGCACTTTAAAAGAACTCATAAATAAGCTGAAGGTACAGAGATGAAATATTGAAGCGACCACTAGAGGGAGCCAAACGTGCAGAAGAGGGGAAAAAATGGTGCAATATAGGTACACAGGTGATGAAAATAAGATCATGTGCAGAAATTCCCTGGAACAGCCACTGTGGAAATACATGGCACAGAAACCTTGGCAGGGGATGATTGGGTATAAACTGCAGCCTCTCCAGGTGACAAAAAGCTTGGACTGAAATCACCTTTGGGTAACGGAAAACCCACCTTGGTTTCTTTACTTGGCTGACAACAAATATAGCTAAAGGTACCGGAGAAATCCTGTGTTTGGATTAGGAAGTTGCTACTGGACTCCATACAAACCCAATACAAGAAAAAGGCTCAATTCATACAAACCCAATACAAGAAAAGGGCTCAATGATAATTCACTGTAAGTCAAGCATTGAAGCACTCAACATTTAGAGGGGGAGCTGATTATAATCTTTCAGTCTTCCCTCCCCATTTCTAACTGGCAGACTGACCTAAGAAGTGGAGCATGACTGAACATTCAGAGCTGTGCTCACCCAAATGCATCTCCTTATAAGATGGTCCCAAAAGGCAAATCATGTTAGGCGGTGGCTTCGTACTCAGCCGCTCGTTCTGAGCGTCTTGGAGCTCCCGGAGTAGTTTCGTGGTTTCATCAAGTTTTCTCTGGAAGACTTCTGCCTCTGTTGAATCAAAAGGGAGAGGGATGTGTGTTCGCAATGCAGCCCATGCGCCGACGCAGAAGCCAGCCACGCGGGAGCGTGCTAGGAGACCCTCGTACTCACCTTCCGACTCAAACTCCTCCATGTGCAGCCCGAAATTGGTCACGGCTCTCAGAGCGGTAAGCCTCTCCTTGCTAAGAGAGGAGTCAAGCCTACTGGTTGGTTCCATTTCTATGATCTGTAGATGGCAGCAAACACATGATTTTAGATTTCTAGCAGAAGAAATGTATATAGCACACAATGCAAGCTAATTATGTTTTTTTTGGGGGGGGGCTCATCAAGGTAACACAATAGTTACCACAATTCATTCCCTGCTTTCTAATATGTAGGCCTGAAATGAAGTAGATCGTCTTAGTACTAGACAGTGTACCAGTAGTTACTACGTTGAGGTTCCTTTCTCAGCTCCTATGTGTTGGCACCAAAAGCCTGAAGGAGGCCATGGAAGACCCTTCCTCCAAACCCCTTCCCCAAAGTATATGCCACTGGAGGCTCTGATGGGGTGAAAAGCCACCTTTCTGCCTGACGGGACTCAAGGCGGCTTACGATGTAAATAGAACATGAAACATAAAAACGCATAAGATGCCATGAACTAAAAACAGAGATTTAAAATTGCCGATAGGCAGAAAAGCTAAACTAATTGAATGCCGTCCTGAATAAAAGTCTTCAGCTGCCTCCTATAGACTGAGCTTGAGGGGGCCAGGCGCACCTCACTGGGGGAATCTGTTCTTGAATCAAATAGAAGAAGAAGAGATTGGATTTATACCCTGCCCTTCACTTGGAGTCTCAGAGCGGCTTACAAAATCCTTTCCCTTCCCCTCCCCACAACAGACACCCTGTGAGGTGGGTGGGGCTGAGAGAGCTCTGACAGAAACTGCTCTTTTTCAAGGGACAGCTGTGCCAGAGCTTGTGACTGACCCAAGGTCACATCAGCAGGTGCAGGTGGAGGAGTGGGGAATCGAACCCGGTTCTCCCAGATTAGAGTCCGCGCACTTAACCACTACACCAAACTGGCTCTCACACCAAATAGCCGCCACCGAAGAGGCTGTTGCATAACCACCGGACAAGTTTCTTTGGTTGGTAGCTCAGTCAGAAGGGCATCTCCCTGTAATCTTCATTCTTGGGCCATGGACATATGGGGGGGGAGACAGTCCTCCAGATACACTGGCCCCGAGCCACGTTGCACCGTCAAGCTGGAACTGGGGAATTCCATCTCTCTGCTTGTGATGAAACTTGGGACCCCAAGGCCAGTCATTCTCTCTCAGCCGAACGTCCTACCTTGTCGGGTGGTGGTGAGGATAAAATGGATGAGGAGAGAAGCATATATGCTCCCCTAAACTCCTCGGGAAGAAGAGGGCTTTAAAAAGGTCCGAACTAAATTATTTTGATTTCTCAGCAGTGCCGCCTCCCTGCCACAGGTATGTTAACTACCAAAGCGACGACCTTGCCAAGACAGCATGAACTTTGAGGGTGTGAGAACTTACATGACACTGAACAGCTGAAACACGTTCCTTTTAATAGAAACACTCCAGCTGTAAGTGCTGCTTACAACTGAAATCTTAAATGAGATGTAGCCATAGGTAAAATTTGCAAAGATTGGTGTCTTTTGACTACACACACACACACCCCTAGAACTGTAACAATGAACAGCCGCCAGACACAAACCCGATCAACCACGGCTGGCCTATTAGCATGGGCAGGGCTGCCAACCTTCAGGTGGTCGTACAAGAATATATATCACCAGAAGTCATTTAGTAGAAAAAGAGATGTAGGAGCTCATTAGCATAACTTGTTTGCATATGCCACATCCCCTGAGTTCACTGGAAGTGTGTCAGAAGGCAACACCCACCACTCAGGCACCACTGGACTGTTTTGGATTGCTAGCTATTGGGGGGGGGGGAGAACGTGCAGATCTGCCCTCGCAGAGGAGGGAGAGCTTGTACCTGAATAAAACTTGGGTCTTAAAGGTGCCACTGGACTGTTTTGGATTGCTAGGTGGAGGGGGGGAGAAATGCACAGATCTGCCCTCACACAGATCTGTGCAGAAAGAGAGAGAGAGAGAAAGAGAGAGAGAGAAGGAAAGAAAGAGGGGGAGACAGAAATAAAGAGGGAGAGAAGGAAAGAAAGAAAGAGAAAGAAAAAGGGGGAAAAAGAAGGAAAGAGGGAAAGAAAGAGGAAGAGAAGGAGCAGGGGGTGGGGCTTGTTGCATGTGCCCGCCCCCTGGGCTCTTTACTGCTGGAGCTCTGCTCCTGTGCGCTCCTGCAGGAAAGGACCCCTGTATATCACTGTGTACAATAAATATGTTTATGGTAAAACAATTCTATGCTTTATTCTTTTTTAATATGTTTTTCAATATTGTTGTCTAAATATTGGTATCAAATATTATCAAAAATATATTTCACCTAAACAACAGAGAAAAATATGTTTCACCCAAATAATCCATCGAGTGCAGGTTTACATTCAGACAGCACCTTGTCAGTAACACTGTCACTAGTCCCACGGGACTCTAGTAATTGACCCGTTTCGAATGACTCTTTTTCAAGGACCGTGATGTATATATAAAGGACGTAAGGCGCAATAATTTTTCTTTGTGAGCACAGAAGCTCTTTAAAAAGCAGCATTGTCTAGGGTCCCATCGGAACCCTTGCGGCAAACATAATAACCTATCTAAGTCAGCCTATCTCTCAAATTCTATCGGGTGGTAGCTGGAGATCTCCTGGGGTTACAACTGATCTCCGGGTGACAGAGATCAGTTCACCTGGGGGAAATGGCCACTCTGGAATATGGAATCTATGGCACTATACCCCACTGAAGTCCCTCCTCAAACCCCGCCCTCTTCAAGCTCCACCCCCAAACTCTCCAGGTATTTCCCAGCCTGGAACTGGCAACCCTATAACATGGGCGTAATTTGGCTGTTTCTTGCTAAATCAACAGTGGATCCAATGACACCGATTCCCGCAGCTTGTTTGCACCAGACGGTTGTAGTAAGCAGCAGAAAAGCATCACCTCGGTGTCTTTTATCACGTCGGCTCTTCCAGACCGGCCGTCAGTTTCATTTGCTGGCTGTGAATGAAAGAGGACCCGGTGAGGTGTACAATACGTTTAATGGTATTTAACTGGATTCTGTAGCACTGCTGTTTACCGGCACAGGTTGTTCAGATCTCTTTGGTTACATTCTTATGTTGCTCCTTCCCCCAGCCACGGGCTCTTTTCTCCACCTGTGCACAGGATTCCCTGCACCTGACCTGGACGGCCCAGGCCAGCCCGATCTCATCAGATCCTGGAAGCTAAGCAGGGTCGGCCTCGGTTAATACTTGGATGGGAGACCGCCAAGGAAGAGGTGGGCCTCTATGTAGAGGCAGGCAAGGGCAAACCACCTCTGAACGACTCTTGCCTCGAAAACCCCACCGGGGGGTCACCATGAGTCAGCTGTGACTTGACGGCAACAACAACAACGATAAAAATAAAGCTCCGTCCAAACGGTTGCCTGAAAACTGATGTGCCTTAAAAGGAAACCTCACAGTGGGCTGGATCTGACTGGCTTTTACGCCGGTGAAAAATGGAGGGAGAGGGTCCTATTCTGCCCACCAGAAGGACTGTGCTAGGGATCATGGGGCCCTGCCTGGACAAAAGCCCTGTGGGATGGGGGAAGGAAGGGAATTGCATGAGATTCATTGAAAAAGCCGTCTGGATCCTACTCAATAGGGGGTATGTGTAGAATCATCACGGTCAATTAAAAAGCTAAAATTATAATGCAAAAGCTTTAATCAGATTACAAATATTAAAAACCGTGCATCACAAGACAACAGTCATATGTGTGTGAGTGTGTGTGTGTGTGTATCAGTGTTTCCTCTAAGCTGAGCTAGTGTGAGCGAGCGCACGGTTTTTTAGCCTCCGGCTCACATATTTTCGTCTTCGCTCAGGAAGGATGGCCCCAGAGGCAAACTAATTTCTGCAGCAGCCAAACTGCTTGCTTCCCAGCTTTAATGCCAGTGGCTCACATAGAAGAATTTTCGTTCACAAGACTCCATGGCTCAGATGGAGCATTGATATGTATATGTATTCCCCTAGTGTAAAAAAAACCTTTTTAGTAAAATTGCATTTGTGCACATTTATTTATTTATTTATTCAATTTATGCCCCGACCTCCCCGCCGAAGCAGGGTCAGGGCGGCTTGCGTAAAATTTCATATATAAATACAATTAAAACCATTCATAAAACAGCCATAAACAACTCAAATTATTAATTATCATAAACGGCTGGAACAAGGATCTAATAAAGGGCTAGAACAGTAGATTTCCAAATAACAGCGCTGTTGAGGTGACAGTACAATCATGTCGGTATTCTCAACACGCTCAACGTTCAGTTTATTAGTTCGGCGGGCGGAGGCTGTGGATGGCAGTGCCAGGGCACAGGGTCACTCCTCAGATATTTGATGCGGCTCCTTGACTAAAGGCCTGGTGGAAGAGCTCCGTCTTGCAGGCCCTGCGGAACTGTAAAAGGTCCCGCAGGGCCCTGATCTCTTCCGGGAGCTCATTCCACCGGTACGGAGCCGCCACTGAGAAGGCCCTGGGGATGTCATACAGCTGCAAGCATCATTCCTATGACCACGTGGATCTACGAATTGCATAAAATACATCCAAACCAAACACGTTGCAGCTGTGAGGCCTTCCTCAGTGGTTTAAATCTTAGCAATACATAGCATATACCGGTGATGGCGAACCTTTTAGAGACCGAGTGCCCAAACTGCGACCCAAAACCCACTTATTGATCGCAAAGTGGCAACACGGCGATTTAACCTGAATACTGAGGTTTTACTTTAGGAAAAACAACTCATACATTAACTTAAGAGGATCCAAACAAAGTAAGGAAAGCAATCCCAAATGCTTTCATTTACTTAAAATTATTTGGCAGAGAATTCGACACTTTAATGGTGGTCCGGGCCTGGCTGGGGCAATGGCACACGTGCCCAAAGAGAGGGCTCTGCGTGCCACCTCTGGCACCCGTGCCATAGGTTCGCCACCACTGGCATATACCTTGCCTGACCATGGCACTAAACATCCAGATATAATTTTTTCCCATAGACTATATATCTCCCTTTGCTGTCAATTAGGACCAAGGAAGATATCTATCCAGATGGCTGATGTTATTGCTCTAAATTTACCCGTAAGCCAGGTCAGGATCAAGCACGGGTACAGTCACATACAGGAAATAGTTGCATTTGGTTTCCTAGAAGGTTGGGGACCCCTAGCTTAGGGAGAGGGAAAAACTGCCACCTTAACTGATCTGGATCAGCATTTTCTAACCCTGTTACCAGCTGGTCTCCCTCTTGGGTGGAAAAGATTCTACTTAGGCACTGGGGGGGGGGGGAATAGAATCCATCTGCTCCTTTCAGGGAATTTATTTGAAACAGTTGTTGGTTCTATTTTTGTGGGCCAAAGGAGCTTTTTATATGTGCCTTTCTGTTGAGAGAGAAACAGAGCAGTAAATGCCATGTTGGAGAAAACAACTATAATGTTTAGCATGGGAAACTGAACCACTGTGTACACTTTCCAGCCTCAGGTAGGTTTTTCTTGTTTGCCCTTTGAAATACTTCACTGTAACCTGAGTTAGAAAACTGTGTTGTCCGATGTGCAGTGATAAAAAGCATGACGGATCAACATACTAGAAGTCAGAACTGATACATCTGTTTGGTACTTCGAATACCACTCATGTCCGTGATACGACCTTCTGCCCTAGAAGCAGGGCTTTCTCGGCTGGAGCACGTGGGAATTGAATTAGAATTGTTCTGCCTTGTTTTTGTAGCACTGGAGGTGGGGGGAGGTTCCCGTAAAGCTTTCTTCTGCTTTTTCCTGAGAGCTTTCCCTGGCTGTACTGTTCTTTGGCAGCAGAAAAGAGCAAGAGTCCAGTAGCACCTTTGTTGTTGTTCAGTCGCACAGTCGAGTCCGACTCTTCGCGACCCCATGGACCAGATCCCGCCAGGCCCTCCTGTCTTCCGTCGTCCTCTGAAGTTTGCTCAATTTCATGTTTGTGTTGCATCTATGAAACTGTCTAACCATCTCCTCCTTTGCCGTCCCCGTCTTCTTTGACCTTCAATCTTTCCCAGCATCAGGGTGTTCTCCAGTGAGTGCTCCCTTCTCATTGGGTGGCCAAAGTATTTGAGCTTCAGTTTCATTATCTGGCCTTCCAGGGAACAGTCAGGGTTGATTTCTTTGAGGATTGACTGATTTGATCTTCTTGCAGTCCAAGAGACTCTCAAGAGTCTTCTCCAGCACCATAGTTCAAAAGAATCTATTCTTCGGCGCTCGGCTTTCCTTACAGTCCAACTCTCGCAGCCATACGAGACTACTGGGACTACTGGGAATACCATTGCTTTGACCATGCAGACTTTTGTTGGCAGGGTGATGTCTCTACTTTTTATCATGCTGTTGAGGTTCGCCATCGCTTTCCTCCCAAGGAGCAGGCGTCTTTTAATTTCATGGCTGCTGTCACAGTCTGCGGTGATCTGGGAGTCTTAAAGACTAACAAAATTTGTGGCAGGGGGTGAGCTTTTGTGAGTTGATGCTCACTTCTACTGGACTCTTGCTCTTTTCGACTGCTACAGACAGGCTAACATGGCTACCCATCTTGTTCTTTGGTAATTTTGCATTTCTGAACTACTGTGAGGATTGTTTGCCAAGCCATTATTTATGTACATATTTAACAGGGGGGGGGGGGGGCATTGCAAGCTGCTTTCAACAACATCCAACATCTGCTGGAAAAGTGGCCAGAGAGAGAGAGACAGAGGCTACAGATGAGGAATTACTGATTAGTAAGTGTAGCATGCATATAATCAGGTAAGCATCTAGCTGAATCTGGGGAAGAAAGTGAAATGCCTGTCACAGGGATGCAAACCACAGACTAGGGAAGTTGGTTACTCACTTAGCATCATAGTAAGTTATGGTGACCCATTTGGTAAAATGGGTGTGGATGGCTATTCACACCTTTTCAATGTGACCATTATGGCAGGCCTGGACTTAAAACTAGCCATGCAAGGGAAAACTGCTGCTCAAAGTCAGCCACGGAGGCCACGGAAAAGATGTTAAGCGCGTTGAACAGAGTTCAGAAACACAGATCTGTCTAGGTAACTAAAAGCACGCTGAGAGTCAAAATGCCTTCTAAAGAACTGCTCTTCCTTGGGGCCGCTTTCTGAAAGAGTAACCAAGTGCCAGTTAGTTGTGGGTCAAAGCTTCCTTCAGCCCTCAGCTCAATCTCCACCCCAAAGGCCCACTCTACTCTTAGGCCATGTAAGCGGAGCAAATCGAATCTGGACTTCGATCCAGTGATGCAGGAACCCACAATCTAAGTGGACTTAGCACATTCCACCTAGGCGACATCTTCTGCAGCGCTGACGGCCTTCCTTCCTTCCTGTATCTTCCAGTGCCCAAAAACTGACTGCACAACATTTTGCACAAGCTGGAAAAAAAACTGCTCGGGACGTTTTGCTGAGTGCGAAGTACTGAGCGTGGTTTCCCCACACTTTTTACTCATGCAAGGACCCCCCCCCTTTTTGGCTGAGATGTCAGAGTCAACTGATGGCAACCCCCCTGGGGGTTTTCAAGGCAGAGACACCCAGAGGTGGTTTCTGCCACTGCCTGCCTCTGCCATCACGACCCCGGACTTCCCGGGGGGGTCTCCCATCCAAACGCTAACCAGGGATGACCCTGCTTAGCTTCCGAGATCTGACGAGATCAGGCTCGCCTGGGTCATCCATCATCAGGCCACTGAATTCTATCGGAGTACATGGGGCTGCCTGTTTGAATGCCCCCAGCCCCCAACGTACCTAAAAGCAGTGTGCTTACAGAAGCCTAGATGTCCTCTTCCAGTGTCCTCTCTATTTGACGCCCCGTCGGGATCTTCTATATCCCATATTAGGCCATTTTTAGAGACCCCTGATGATTTTAAGCTCCTTTTCTTGCTCGATAACTCAGACACAGAAATAACTGAAATAGCAGCAAAGTTTCTCTGCAGTGCCATGGCCCTACGGCCTGATAAATGATATGATGAATTAGGTTTTTCTTTATGATGATACTCTGTGATGTTACTCGGCAATTTTAATTTGACTCTGTATGATTCTGTATATAGATTACTGTATCTTTATTTATATGCCGATAAAAGGCTTTGGATTGGATTGGAGAAGCCTAGATTGTATTTTTCGCCCTGACCATGCTTGTTCTGTATCCGCAAGGAACTGAGGGTTTAAAAAAAAAAAAAAACTAGGGAAAAGAACATTCAACCGTGTGGTCCCGGCTCTTCAGCTGAAAATGGTAGAATCTTGGAAATCGCCTCGATTCCAACCTATGTATAAATTGCACCCCGTCCCGTCCCCCCACCCCCCGTGTACTAATATGGCTGTTTGGAGGGTAGGGGCCATGGCTCAGTGAAAGAGTATCTGCTTGGCGGTGGATCCAAGCCATTCGTTTCCTGACTATTTTGTGGGTCAACTGAAGGGGAAAGAGGAATCGAGCATGCTCCCCCCCCCCCAGTGCATTACACTCTCTGTCGTCTGAGTGCTGTTGCCTTTCATCCCACCCACTCGCAGAGTGACACACAAACAGCCTCACCGTCTCCAGTTCTCTGAGTGAGCGAGAATGCCCTCCTTGGGTCAAGACGTCCAGCAGGCTGTCAGCCATGACGTAGGGGTGGTCCTGAGACTTCGCCAAAAACTCGCTAATACTGAAAAAGGATCACAGATGCAAAACGTTATGCCGATTTATGGAAAGTAACCCACGTATGTAGTTCAAGTAACTTCCTCTATCATGTATAAGACACATAATAATTATGGTCAGCATGTATTAAGCCAACAACTTTATTACTAAGCAATTTGGACACTCTAAGTAATACATGTCCCACAATGAATTTATGGTAGCCAACCTTTGTTATTATAGCATGTAGAGAATGAGCACTCTAGTTTTATCCATGAATGCATTTATTAGCATTGGCACCTTTAAGATTCATCATTGCAGTGCCTCTGGGACAACATTGCAGCTGTTATTGACTCTTATACATATGTTATATTTAGGAACTTAAGGCATAACAGGCCCTAATCACAAAAGCAGCCTTACAGGGCGCACTTTAAATTTTAGAGACCTGGCCTACATTAAGGGTGAAATATTCCACTATATATATACATTTGAGACAATTGGTCCTGCTTACTTGGAAACAACCCTATGGGGTGCATATTAAGTTATAGGAGACCACGCCCAAATTAGAGTTGGAATACTCCACCTACCTATACCTTTAAAAGCTAATGAAGACACTACCAGCTGCAATTAATATGGCTTTATAAAATTGTCCCTAGCAGGCTGGATACTTTGAGGCATTTGGTCCTGTTTTCACAGAAGCAACCTCACTGGTGCATACTAAAAGGAGACCTAGCCCATAGTGAGTATTGGCAACTTTGGGGTCCTTATTATGCTAAGTATTTATATATACTAAGGAGTTACTCTCTTTTGCAGAGAAATTGAATGGCATCATCTGTTAGGAAACTGGTATGAGACTTCCTATATTGGTAAGATACATGAGACTTTGTGTAATAGTAATTTTTAAGCATGTTTCAGAAGCTACATTGTTATTAAGCATTGCTGCATGCTACACTTGTACAATTCTGTACTTTACAGTTCCATGTTCCTGAAGAAGGACCAGGAGTTTGAAACACTATCAACAACCTAGGAAAAGTGTTTGTATTAAAGTCTCTTTTTGTACTTTTTTACTTGCGGGCTTTTCAGCTCACAGTTGTTTTTTGTTGTTTTTTGATGTTTTGGCTTTATAGACTGTGTGCTGTACAATTTGCTTCCAGCATGTATTAAGAACATAAGAGAAGCCAATGTTGGATCAGGCCTATGGCCCATCCAGTCCAACACTCTGTGTCACTCAGTGGCCAAAAAATACCAGGTGCCATCAGGAGGCCCAGCGGTGGGGCCAGGACACTAGAAGCCCTCCCACTGTTGACCCCCCCAAGCACCAAGAAGACAGAGCATCCCTTGCCCCAGACCGTGACTTCCTATCTATGCCTTGTGGCTAGTAGCCACTGATGGACCTCTGCTCCATATAAGAACATAAGAGAAGCCATGTTGGATCAGGCCAATGGCCCATCCAGTCCAACACTCCCCAAGCACCAAGAATACAGAGCGTCACTTGCCCCAGACATAGGGTTCCATAGAGATCTCGTGGCTAATAGCCATTGATGGACCTCTGCTCCATATGTTTAGCCAATCCCCTCTTGAAGCTATGCTTGTAGCCACCACCACTTCCTGTGCCAGTTAATTCCAAGGGTTAATGCTGCGCTAGATGCAAACAAATCAGTCTACGGACTACGACTGATGGTGGGAGTAGGCAAAAGGGGAGGAGAAGGGAGGATTCCCTAATAAAGAGTATTTGGCATGGCGTGGGATTGTGGCATATCCTCATAAAGGACTTGCAAATCCCCTGGAGCGCCCTCCTTGCGGACCCCTAGTTTGTGAGACACTAATGCAGACAGTAGTACTGGGATGGATCCAACCACCTTCCAAATAGCCTCCTTCCAAACTGAGTGACCCTTCGGTTGGACAAAGGCTGCTTAGGCTGGAAGGCTTTGAACTTGAGCCAGAGGACAGGTGAGGTATAAATATTTTAATGGAGAAAACCCCACTTTGCTCTGTGGAGGGATAGGATGCGGTCGGTAGGAGGGAGGGAGAGGCTGTGGCAAGGTGGTAGAGCATCAGCTTTGCATGCAGGAGGTCCCAGGCTCAGTCTCCAGCATCTCCCGTTGAAAAGATCAGGTTGTACGTGACGAGAAAGATCTCCACCTGGGGACAGCCTGGAGAGCTGCTGCCTGTGTGAGCGGACAATACTGACCTCGATGGATCAGTGGTCTGATTTAGTAGATGGCAGCTTCATGTGCTTAGTATCCACCCCACTGTGTACTGGGTTACAGCAAATGTCCCAGGAACTAAACGCCTCTCCAACAGCTGTTGCAGGACACAGTTTACTCTCAACCCCAAAGCCAATTTCTCGTCCAACAGAAGTTCGGGCTTGACTTGGCAAACATTAACCCGTCAATAAAGGAAGATCGGTGGGAAAAGATTCACTTTCCTCTGTAGCTTGCCACAGCAAACAAATGCAAAGCTCCTGAAGAACTGAACTAAGATTTGTTTCTGGCTACTGGCTGAGAGGAGCTCTCTGCGCCTTAGGAGAAAATGTGTAATGAATGCAGAAAGGAGTGACTTGGAACCGCGCGACTAGCATTTCCTGTTCAGTCCGTGTTATTTGTGAACGAATTCCAGAGAATCCCAGTGGAAGAGAGTGAACACAAAGATTTGGTGGAATGTTAAGAATGTGATCGAGTGCGATTCTCCTGGTCACAACTGGTCAAGGAAGCAAACAAAACATCAAGGGCAAAACGGCTGATTCTTTCACTAGCAGGAAACCACTTTCCTTGGATGTGAAAGCTTCTCAAATGAGATCTGGGTTTCAACCGAGATCCCCAGAGCCAAAATAAAGGGAAGTCTGTTCGTTTGTTGAATACTTACTTAAACCCCCCTGGATTAGAATCTTCCCCGTAAGTCGAGTAAATTAAATCTGAATCGTCCTTGCTGATGTTTGCAAATGTGGAGTCGTAAGCTGGGGCATAGGAGCTAAAAGGCCCATAGTTCAAGTACATCACTGTAAAACAAACAGCAAGGAATCATTAGGCAGAGTATTAAATTCTAAGAGTCAGCGACCATACTGGCCATAATCATAACACTTCTGACAAATTTTATCCCATCTCGAAAGCAAGAAATTGCAAGTAGATAAATAGGTACCACTTTGGTGGGAAGGTAACAGTGTTCCGTGCGCCTTGGTGTTTAGTCATGCTGGCCACATGACCACGGAAACGTCTTCGGACAGCGCTGGCTCTTTGGCTTTGAAACAGAGATGAGCACCGCAACCCTAGAGTTGGATTCGACTGGCTTTCGAGCAAGGGAACCTTTACCTTTAATAAAGAAAGCCCGTCTGATCGATGCCTCAAGATAGAAGCTGGAGAAGTGGAGTCTGTCCTAGTAGAAGACAGACAGGTGTGTGCCCGCTTTTGTTTTTGCTGTGACGTTCAGGACTGTGGTCATGGCACATTGGTATGAAGCGCAGAAAGGAGTGTTTTGGTTTCACTGGCATGGATAGGGATACATTTAGGATCACCAAATCGCCCCACCCTTACCACAACCTCTTTCTGTCTATACTAGATGGGCTCATGCAGGTTTTTGCACAGTGGAGCAGCGCCCGAGTACCAGATACAATCCTTGTTTGCTTCACAAGATGGAGCATAGAACTGGCCTGTTTGGAAACTTGGTACAGTATGAAGCTTTTGACACACAGTTATTGATTAATTCAAACTGACATTTTTATTAATGGCCTGCCAGCCCTACTTTATCAAAATACCAGATACGAGTCACTTCTGGCAAATCCTAATCGGTTTAACAGACTTGTCTGCGAGCAGAAGTACCCCAAGCCTACCTCCCATAATTTAAACATGAGTAAAAACATTATTTTGTCAAGGGCAGAGGCTGCAAAAGCTTTATAATATTTTGTATAAACCAAGGTATGCAAAGCATTAAAAAAATATCCAGAAAATTATTTTTGACTTGAGGAAGGCATTAGGAAAGAGAAGGTTTTTCTGCTGACAAAGATGGAGGATATTTTCAGTTCTGGACAAAGGTGAAGTGGGAATTTAGATGGATTTTAAGTACTCGCCTAATAAGAACGTGGCAAAGATGGGTTTGAACTAAACTGAGGCTATCATACTTTGGTCACACGTTACAAGAAGACTCACTGGAAAAAACAATAACGCTAGGAAAAGTTGAAGAAAGGGGTTGCGACTCCGTGGTAGAGGAGCTGCAGAAGTACCCGCACGAAGTTAAATTTAACTTTTAAATTGTCGTAAACCCTCCTTTGAGAGCTTTATGGTCAGAAGCAGGACAGGGGGCGGTGGCACAGGCAGTTAAATGCCTGTAGAAATAGTCATCTCGAACAGCTGTAACAGCGGTTCGAATACCACCCCCGACCCTTGCCCCAGCTCCTGCCAACTCAGCGGTCTGAAAGCCCCTCAGGGCAATTAGGTAAATGGGTACCTGTCCGTAGGAGGACAGGGGGGTACCCCTCCCTCGAAATCGGGCTCCAGCCGAGCAAGGACTCAAGAAGCAGCGGCGACATGGCGGTGGGCAGCACGGAGGAGATTAAGAGAGGCAGCGACATCCCAAGGAGGCGGTTGGCTCAGCAGCTGATGACGTGGCCAGCAGGAGGACGTCCGGAGCCGTAAGGACGTTGTGACGCCCACCGCGGCTGCGCACCAGGGCCCATAAACAACAGCCCCCGAGAGGAGTCGCCAGAGAGCCGAAAGAACAGCGGAGACCGCGGAAGACGCACCGGAGAAAACTGGAAGGAGTCGCCCACTCGCCGGATAAACGAACGAACGGAGCCGGGAGGGTACCTGGTAGGGCTCCCCCCACCCCAGACGTACTGTGGCCATAGTTAGGGTTTCTGCATAGGTCTCTGCACCATGCACCGTGTAAGCCGCTCAGAGCCCTTCGGGGGTGAGCGGGGTACAAATGGAAAGTATAAATAAAATATAAATAAACAAGAAATCTAAAAACATTAAATTAAAAATTAACTCCACAAAGCTTATCTCCTGTACTGAGGGATACAGAACAGGTAACACCCACCTGGAGTAACTTTGTTCCTTTTGTCTTCTTTGAAGCCCTGTAAGGTATTCACGCCCGACTGCAGCTTTCCGGCTGTCACGCCCAGCTTCGCGGAATTATGACCTAGTTCTGCCACCCAACAGAACGTGGACAAGAAAAAGATATAAACCGCAAAACCAGAGGGTGCTTTTTTTGGGGGGGGGGGTACTGTACATAAAATTTCCCCCAAGTGTTTACAAGATTTCTTCCCATCATTCTGGGAGTATAACGTTCTGGGAAAACATTTTCTTACAGAAATTGCTTTAGCCCTTGATTTGACTATGGTGACTTATTTTTATTTACATAATATAATCGGCCTTTCCTCCAGCAATCCCAGAACATTAAGAAAACCACGGTGATAATAGCATTCACCCCATGGCGGAGGTTTTGCAAGTTTAAAGGTAAAGGTAAAGGTCTCCCTTGCTCAAAAGCCAGTCGAGTCCGACTCTAGGGTTGCGGTGCTCATCTCCGTTTCAAAGCCGAAGAGCCAGCGCTGTCCGAAGACGTTTCCATGGTCATGTGGCCGGCGTGACTAAACACCAAGGCGCACGGAATGCTGTGACCTTCCCACCGAAGTGGTCCCTATTTATCTACTTGCAATTTCTTGCTTTCGAACTGCTAGGTTGGCAGGAGCTGGAACTAGAGACAGGAGCTCACCCCGTCTTGCGGCACCCGGGTCTTGAACTGCTGAACTACCGACCTTCCACAGCCTGCAGTTCAGCGTCTTAACCACTTGAGCCACCGCAGCTCCTTTCTGCAAGCTTACCTCCTTTCATAAATGAAGAGGCAGAATGCTACGTAACAGCCTAATACAAGGGTCCCCAACGTGGTGCCCATGGGCACAATGGCACCCACTGATACCTTTCCTGGTGCCCACCAAGAGTTCCTATGGAGTGGGTGGGGCCCAGCAGGGCTACTGGAGATGCGATGGGCTGTGTAGATTAAAATAACACTGTTTCAGTGGCGGCTGCCACTGCAGGGTTGGTTTTATTCTCTCTCGCGGTCCTTTCCCCCCGGTCTATATTTCTAAATCAGCTTGTCACCTGGAGTTGGGCTTCCTGTGTGTGGCTCCACTTCCTGCAGTGGCCATATTGTGGTTGTACCTGCCGTGCCGTGTCACAATTCCAGAGGTGACCACAGGCTCAAAAATGTGGGCCACGCCCAACAGGAACTCATTAGCATAATAAGCCACACCCAACAGCAGAAACGCATTAGAATTGGCTACATTAGGGGTGTGTGGCCTAACATGCAAAGGAGTTCCTGCTACAAAAAAAGCCCTGGGTTTTGACAACAAACAAGGTAAACAGAATAAGAAGCAAAAGGTGGCTGTGGCTGGATGACCACACTTCTGGTAACATGGGGGTGTGGCCTAATATGCTAATGCGCTGTGCTGGCAGGGGTGTGGCCTAATATGCTAATAGGTTTCTGGTGTTGGATGTGGCCTATTATGCTAATGAGTTCCTGCTGGGCTTTTTCTACAAAAAGAGCCCTGCCTGGCCGAATGTTTTATACAAACTTGATCTATGGACAAGAAGTCAGTCTGGCATGTCACAGTAACTAGAAGTGATGTTAGCGTAGGAATGTATAAAGCTGCCTTGTACCAATTTAATCTATCGGCCCTTTCAGCCCCATATTCCAGCATCTCTCAGCCAAAAGCCTTCCCTGGTCTTGCTGCTGGAGACTTGGACCCAGCATCTTCTGAATAAAGGCCACGTATTCTAGTTTGCGCATTCCTTGGACCGCAAAGGTGACAAACAAGCATAAAAGTAGACGTGCCACTGGAAGAAAAAAATCACAAAACTGCGACTGACTTATTTCTGCCGTGTCATGCGGAAGAACTCACTAGAAAAAGCGGTTATGCTTGGATGGGTTAGTGGCAAAAGGAAACCGGGCCGCCAAAGAACACGGTGGCGAGACGCCATAAAGGTCGACACCAGCCTGAGCATGGGACGACTCAAAGAAACAGTACAAGATCGGGAAACGTGGAGAGAGCTGGCCCATAGAATCGCCAAGAGTCAAACATGACTGGCCAACAACAACAAATTCTAGTTTGTAGCAGCCGTAATAGCCCAGACCAGACAAAGCTTGGATGCTAAGCAGGGTCAGTAGCAGGATGGGAGACCACCAAAAAAGACTGGGGCTGCTATGTGGAGGAAGGCGATGGCAAACCACCTCTCTGCTCATCTCTAGCCTTAGGAATCCTACGGGATCGCCGTGAGTCGGCTGCAACTTGATGGCGCACTCTCTTTTTTTGCCACCAAGTCAAAGCCGACTTATGGCAACCCCGTACGGTTTTCAAGGCAAGGGACGTTCAGAGGTGGTTTGTCATTGCCTGCCTCTGCATAGCAACCCCGGTATTCTCTGGTAGTCTTCCACCCAAATACTAATCGGCTGTTTAGCTTCCGAAATCCGACGAGATCGGGCTAGCCTGGGCTATCCAGGTCAGGGCGATGGCACACTTTGCGTTTGCCTGTTCTACCTTTTTTTAAAAAAATGGATATGGGATTGGTCCAAGATTTGAGATCATCAGTCTCATCTTCAAAGGAAGCCCCTTATGAAAGATAAGCCTTTTTGAGCTTTATGAGATTAAAGAGGTTTTCTGAGCATTTTAAGCAAGGCTTCCTTGGGAGAAATGTGAGACGGCCCCCGAAGGCCTTCCCTTGCATTGCTACAAACTGCAGAAATCCATCAGTAATACACACCGCCGGAAGGAAGGACTCTTAAATTACTGATTGCATGCATTACCCCCTGCGTTATTTTCGGCTGGATTAAGAAGTCCCAGGGTGGTTGTGCCGTCAGGTTTTCTTCTTTCGAACTCGCACTGAAATAAAGATCAAGCAATTAAAACGAGTCTCCCGTGTGCGGCGCCTACAAACAAGCTGGCATAAGAAGAGGACCATACATAATTTAATGGGCGCTTTTGCTTACAGTTTCAATTAATGAAAGCTACAAGAGTGGATTCGGATTTGTAACAGTAGCAATCACTGTTTGCATCGAATCTATAGGACTTAAAAGAGCTTGATTTAGGGCAGATCACACCCAAAGTTATCTAGAGAATGGGCATCTGTCTAGGGCTATTTACCTGAGCGTTAGCAGACCGTTTTGTTAATTTCCCTCCCGATTCTCTGATGATTCGTTCAATCAGTTCCTGTTCCCTCTCTAAATTACTGTTCCTTATTTTTTCTTCAAGCAGCTCTTTGTCTTTCCTGTAAAAATGCAATGAATTAAAATACTGCACATATTACTATGTTCCTTCAAAATACAGACGGACACTAAAGGGAATTTAAACCACCAAAAGCTTTTCTGGATTCGTTCAAATGACTGTATGAGAATGGGCATGTGAGCACAGTGTGACATAACTAGCCTGTCCCTCGCAAACTGTAGTTTGCTTTTACGTCCAAATGGGAAAGCCGTGGTTTGTGTTTGCTTTCTAAACTGGAACAGACACCGCTGTTTGAAGCTGGTTTGCAGCCCTGGTTTGAAAGGTGAAACACAAACCAATGCTTTGCTGGTTCGAATGTAATGGCATGCACTAAAATGGAAGTAACTATTTGTTTCAGACCTTTTTAGCCTACATTTTTCCTGTGAAGGTGTTGGCCAATGATCGTTTTTTAAAAATATAAATTCACACCAGTTTAAGAACTAACACACAATGCAGTCGGAAAGGTGCACGTTTTGCAGTCAGGCAGGCAAGGAAGCCACCAGAAATCTGCCACTGCCTGTGTATGTTATCACTGCTGACACTTCATTTATGCTATCTGTAGCCCGCCTTTCTCATAGAGACTCAAGGCGGATTACACTGTGCAAGTCAATACACCTCTAATTCTTATGCCGTATCACAAGACACCAATTAATTCCGTCCCTGCAATCTTAATGGATAATAAATGGATGGGGGGGGAGGGGACAATTCAAGAAAGAATAAGTTCAGTACCATTTTGTAAACTATTGTCAACCTGCTACAATATTCCCTCCTGGCAGTTCTATCAAAGAATGGGTGCCCTACGGAAACTGATTTGGGGAAGGGGGTGGGTGAGATGTCAAGTCCAAAAAACGTTTTAGGGTATCACCTCTTGCTCCTGATTTTGCTGAAATGAAAGAAATACTCAGCCCCTGTGATATACTTTTTGTGTTCTTTGCTGGGAGTTTTACAGTCTCTGACGTCTGTTTCCATGGAGCTCGGGTCTTTCTCAAGACCGTCTTCTTCTCCCACTGACTCTGGGTCCGTTTTGTCTTTCTGCTTCCTGCTTTTCTGAAGGTCTGCCATAAAATCTATACTCTGTTTCAAACTCTGAATCCGTTCCTCGAAACAAAACAAAAAAACACTATTTTTAATCAGTCCGATTTCTCCATTAAAACTAGGCTAATCACGACGACAGTTTGTTCATCTAAGATCTTAAGAACAATGCTGCTGGATCAGACGAGTGGGCCATCGCGTCCAGCATCCTTTCTCTCTCAGTGGCCAAACAGGATACAGCCCCCCCGCATTGTTATCTCCCAGTAACCGTGGGTCAGGAGTATGCTGCCACTGACCGTGGCGGAAAAGCTCGTAGGACCCAATCCACGACACTGCAGAATATTTGACTGAAACTCTAAATTAAAAATAATTTATTTATAGGACTTATATTCTGTCTTTCTGCCCCGTCAGGGCCCACCGAAGTGGCTAACCATTAAAAGTAAAACATTTATATCCTGTCTTTCTGGGCGTGGAACAGCGGTCACTGAGGTTGTGGAGGGGGAGGTATCTGTGAATTTCCTGCCTTGTGCAGGGGGTTGGACTAGATGACCCTGGAGGTACCTTCCAACTCTATGATTCTATGATCTGTGTGACTTTAGTTGCACATTCTCAGCTCAATCTACTTCACAGGGTTGTTGTGAGGTTAAAATGGAGGAGAGGAGAACGATGCAAGCTGCTTTGGGCCCCCAGTGGGGAGAAACGCCGGGGTATAAATGAAGTAAACCAATAAATCTAAAACTGTTTTAAAAGCAAGGGTACAAGAACGCATGAAAAGAACGAACACCCCAGCAATTAATTACTTTTCCACACGAAAACAATTCCTTCTCCCCCCCCGTTTAACTCTTTGTTACCTGGCTGAGTATTTTCATTCCTGAATGCAATAGTTTTTTTGCCGCCTTGTAATAAATGGTTTCCGGCTTGTTATAGACCATAGCATTAGTGCACATCAGTTTGAAGTTGTCCTGTACCAAAAGAAAAATTGTAGGACGTGAGCAGAGGTTTCTAGGAATGTTTTCTAGCCATCTCCCTTTTAAAAAAATGATGTCCAGTGAAGGGAATGGGAAAAGTAGCAGCTTATTGTCATGTGACGCATGAATGACCACTACTACCTTTTGCAGTTCCGCAGGGCCTGCAAGACGGAGCTCTTCCGCCAGGTTTTCGAGTAGGGTGCCGCCTTGACATCACGGCCCTGGCCCTAACATCGACATCACTACCAACCTGGCCCTAACATCAACATCACCAGCCCCATCAGCATCACCTGGCCTTAACGTCAACATCACTACCAACCTGGCCCTAACATCAACATCACCAGCCCCATCAGCATCACCTGGCCTTAACGTCAACATCACCGCCATCGGCATCATCACCACCGCCAGCCGGGTGACTGACAGCCTGGCAGGACCCTGGAGGCGGCCATCCAAGTGAGGACAGAACGTCACCATCTTGTATTATAGTTATGTGTTGCGTAGGTATGGTTTTATAATGTAATCTTAATCAAATGTTGTTTTTAGTATATATTGGAAGTAGTTTTAATGTACATGTATGTTGTTGGCCGCCCTGAGACCGCCACAGCGGGGAGGGCGGGATAGAAATTTAATAAATGAATAAATAAGTTATTACTACTACTATTCCTCTTATTATATTCCACTGTTACAGATGAGACCATCAGAGCGAGGGCATGAAGTAGCCACGCACTCCTCCCTTGTGTCTGGATCCAGCCTCTGAAAGGTCTATTTATACTTCATTTAAATTGTGATTTGTGCTGGGTTTTGATTCACGGAAGCCTCCTTGGCTGAAATTGGATTTGGTGCAGTGGTTCGGTGTAGTGGTTAAGCCAGTTTGGTGTAGTGGTTTAAGTGCGTGGACTCTAATCTGGGAGAACCGGGTTTGATTCCACTTGCACCTAGCTGGATGACCTTGGGCAAGCCGTAGTTCTGATAAGAGCTGTTCTTGGAAAAAAGAACAGTTTCTGTCAGAGCTCTCTCAGCCCCACCCACCTCACAGGGTGTCTGTTGTGGGGAGGGGAAGGGAAAGGAGTTTGTAAGCCGCTCTGAGACACCTTTGGGTAGTGGAGGGCGGGGTATAAATCCAATCTCTTCTCTTCTTCGGGTCTAAAATATGTTAAGATACAGTAACACCTTTCCCCTTTACAGGAAGAAAGTACGGAAGCTTGAACTGTATGCAACAATTTGGCTGATTAGTATTTTAGACGGACTGCGTGGCTCTTTCTGGCTAAGCCAGAGTTCAAATACTGACACGGCTGTGCATGCGGATGCTGGCTTAGCAGAACAAACGATGCTCTCAGTTCCTTCTCTCTCTGCATCAACCCGTACATTAATTACGGATCGCACAGATGTTCCTGTTCTCGGTCGCGAGTCCACCCTCCCCGTGGCCTGTTCTCTTTTGCTGCGTTCCCAGGCTTTTTTCAACCTCTGTCCCCGTATTGTGGAACAGTCTTTGTATTCTTTGATGGGAGTTTTTAAGTCTCTGACGCTGGTCCAGAAGGCTCCAACTCTGACAGCCTTCCACAGGGCTTGCAAAACAGTTCTGTCGGAACGGGGTGTCTCTTAAAGGGCACGTCCTAAGCTTGGACAGAATTTCTTTTTTGTTGTCGAAGGCTTTCACGGCCCGAGTTCGTTAGCTGCTGTAGATTTTCCGGGTTGTGTGGCCGTGGTCTTGGCATCGTAGAACCTGACGTTTCGCCAGTCACCTTGACACAGAGAGTACTCCATCTTTCTGTGTTATACCTCTGAGGATGCCAGTCACAGCTACAGGCGAAACGTCAGATTCTCCAATGCCAAGACCACGGCCACACAACCTGGAAAATCTACAGCAACTAAGGAATTTTTTTCCTTGCTAATCCTCTGTACTGGGTCTGCGACTTCCGGAATTTCATGAAACTCCTTCGGTGAGGAGTCAAAATTCGGAGTAGAGCCTCTTGGCCATTATCCCAGCTGAGCAGCAAAGGCTGCAGCTTATAAAAGGGCTTTTAAAAACAACAACAACAAACCAATAGGGTGAGGAAAAAGGAGGGCAAGGAGGAGGCCAGGACAAAAGGCAGAAACCTGAGCGAAAAGTTGGCAGAGGAGTGCGTCAAAGTGGAGCTCCTCTCTGAGCACTCTTTGCCAATGCAGTTAAAAGAACTGATGAATGAGGAGGAGGGTGCCTCCCCCTGGTGGTCAAAGGAAGCTGGGCTTTGTCCCTGCTTCCTGTTCTAACAGAAGGAATAATCTATGGATTGGTCAAATACGCCTTCCTGTTTTGCTAACAGGCAACAAATATGCACTGCTCCGTGTTTTATGAGAGTCTGTGATATTTCTGTACCACCTCCACCTCGACTTGGTCGTGTTTCGTAAGCCACTATGAACTGAACAGGAAAGGTGGGATAGAAATAGAAATCTTAACTCGGGTAGCGGCTTGAGCAGCATCCCACGGAGGCCGTTTGAGTAATCCGTCAGAACGGAGGTGCAAGAGCGGCTTCTTTGCAGGAGTGGCAGGGTCCACGCCTGCCACTTTAAGAGCTCAGACGCTGGCTGCGTGTGCACGTGCATGAAGAGAGATGAGCAGCAGGAGAAGCGGCACTGGCTTATGCCAACAGACTCTCCACGAGAAGCCCCCCCTTTCCCCCACCTCCCAATCAGATCTTTGGTTTGCTAACGAAGAATGGATGGGAGGTGCGGTGAATTTGCAGGATGGGACACATCGGCAAGGCACTCTGTCTGTTCAAAACTGACAAGCAGAGCTTGCAAGTGGGACTCGGCACCAACGCTCCCTCTAAGCTGCGGAGTCCTGTGAGCAAAAATTCTACTCTGTGAGCGACGGGCATTAAAGTTGTGAGCGAGCGATTTGGCTACTGCGTGAATGAGTTTGCTCTGGAGCCATCCCTTCCTGAGCTAAGGCGAAAATGTGTGAGATGGAGGCTAAGAAACTGTGAGCTGGCTCACACTTACTCAGCTTAGAGGGACCACTGCTTGGCACCTCCCCCCCCTTATGCACCAGGCCAGTGATCGTTGAGCATCAGAGATGAAACAGGCACGATCGGAGGCCAAACGTGCTCAGGACAGGCATCAGACTGGTATTCATGTAGTGGTAAAGGCAAAGCGCTCAACAGAGACGCTTTTCTCAAAAGATCACAGAGCTGGGCTTGTCAGACTGGAAATATTTTTATTCATTTATTTTTCACATTTTTACCCCGCTCTCCCTGCACGCGGGCTCAGGGCGGCTTACAAGAGGGCACAAGCCCATGCATAAAAACAAGATAACACAATAAAACCATTAAATAACAACGAAAACAAGAATAAAGTGCTCCATGAAAACAAGATGGTCTCCGAGTAATTTCATGATAGTATCAGTCATTTCATTGGGGGTGATATTGACCTGTAGATGGTCCAAGGCCAGTCTAGCGGTACCAGTGCCACGCAATATTATGGCAGGTCTTCCGAGGACCGCCCCTAACCCCGTTGTTACCCCCACCATTGGTGGTGGTGGTAGTGGCGGCCCCTATATGAAAGCCTGGCGGAAGAGCTCCGTCTTGCAGGCCCTGCGGAACTGCATACGCGGTCCCGCCGGGCCCTGATTTTCTCCGGGAGCTCATTCCACCAGGTAGGGGCCGCCACTGTAAAGGATCTGGCCCTAGTTGCAGCAAGCTTTGCCTTGCGGGGGCCTGGAATCACCAGGCGATGTTGTGTCCCCGACCGAAGTGCTCTTGGGGGTATATTAATATCAATATTAAAATCAATAGCAGGGAAATATTAATCAAGTCATCGTGGAAGTCCTATGATCTTCTTTAAAAGGTACAAATAGAACAAGTGCAGGGTGTGGGGAAGGGATGGGGTTTTTACTTGGGAGGGTTAAAGAAGTTCAATGTGTCCTTCCAGTCTGCAATAAAAAGTAGGAAGGAGATACTTTGAACTTTAAAAATTATTATTATTATTATTATTCACTCAATCTATAACCTGCCCTCCCCGCTGAAGCAGGCTCTTTAGCTCCTAATTTTTGATGGGGGAATAAATACATCTAATTTTAAATACAATCATTCTTACTCTAGAAGTCGAGAACTGTAATGAGAAAACCAGACATAAAACCCGGATTTCTTGCTTCCATATTGAAATAGCAATTAATTCATTCATTTTCTACAGTGGTGAAGAGCCACCAGATCACCTTTCATAAGGACACATTTTGCTGACTGTGAAACTGAGTTCCACTCCCGTCCCTTAGGAATATGCTTGTCAGAATCTATGATCTTGTTATCAGTTTCAAGTACTACCAAAACATTTCTGGCCGTTCGTCGTTGTTTTTTAAAGCACATTTTTGTACTGGCGAGTTTAATATTAAAGAAAGCCCCCTGAAGATGGACACAAAGGAATTGCTTTCTGCAAAGAAAGTGAATGGGAAACACTCTCAAAGCCAGATGTGCCGATTTTTGATTCTGTGTGTTCATAAACTATGAAAGGTTCAGCCCCCGAATGAATAAAATATTGGGGGGGGGGGGGGACTGTACAATGCAATCGCTGGCACCAGCAAGTGTCAATGTTTAATCCCCTCTCTGCAGCTGAAATATAAATTAAAAGCACCTTTAGTTCTTCTATGGACTGGTATCCATTGTTCTTGATCTTCTCTTTCATGGTACTAAAATCCATTGGGCGTTTAATGATCATGGAGTAGCCGGGAGCAATAAAGTCAGTCACAGGAAATGAAAAGAAAGCATTTGGATCCTTTCTGTTAAGAAATGAAAAGAAGAGTCTTTTTACATTTCATTTTTTTTTATACGTAACAAAGGACAGGCCTTGCTATTAAATAGGGAGAGAAGACTTCGACTTGAAAGAAGTCACTGAACTGAACTGAAACAAGAGAGAGTTTGCCCCAATACAATCTTGCGTTTCTTCAAAGCAGCAGAGGTCATTACCTCGCAAGCATTCCTTCCAACAGGTAATCTTTTTTTAAAAAAAATTGCCAGTAAGTTATTGTTCTGACGTATTTGATATTTCTAAGCCAAACCACAGGTATCACATTTTTCTGCTTCTTTCCCCCACCCCAAAATCCAATGATATATTATAATATCAACAGCAGGGAAAGTTTTATATGTCAGGTTTTAGCCTGCCTGCAAAACAGTACTCTTTCACCTTCATGTAAAGTCCCCTTGCATGAGAACAGCCGCCTTTCAAGGCTGTAAGGAGCAATAACACATATAGTGAGAGGTGCTGTGGCTCAGTGGTAGAGCATCTGCTTTGCATGCCGAAGGTCCCAGGTTCAATCCCCGGCATCTCCGGTTAAAAGATTTGGCAGTAGGTGATGTGAAAGACCTCTGCCTAAGACCGCAGGGACCCCAAATCTATACAATTTCATCAAATGGGTCTAACTTTGAGCCCAGTTAATCATATCCCCACAAAGGTCACAGGAATAAATGTAGCACACTCCATAGCCAGCTGAAATGAGTAATCTCTCCTTATATATAATTGAATAGTGGGTGCCAAAGTTCTAATTCTAAAATACACTCCCTTAGTGTATGGCTGATGGCACTGCTCCTCAGCATATATCGCCACCAATCAGAAGGCAAAGCCCGGGTCCCGCCCACACCACAACTGCTGCGACAACCTGGTCTTTTGCATATGGAAGCTGATTGGACTTCATTCCACACCTCAAACTCCCCCCCCCCCGCAAGGCAGTTGAAATGTCAGTTGCATATGGAATCTGCTGTATTCTGGTGGTGTGCAGGTCCCAGGTTCATGTTTTAAAAGCAGACTGACACTGTTTGCCCAAAGCCAGAGCACTCTCCCAGAGCCTCTTTCTAGATCCCGTTGTATTTATTTCCACAACGGGCCTTATTTCTAGTTACTTATAAGGCTAGATAACTGTTACTAGAAAGGCTAGCCTGAGATTGCCCCTTTAATATTTGTTGGCTGCTGTCTCAATGAGAGTGTTCGAGGAAGCTCACAGCATCCTTAAAGCACCATCTAAATGCCAACAGTTAAAGACATAAAAACAATTCAATAACATCAACAAAACCCACAATCAAAATGGGGAAAAACTGCTCTGAATCAAGGTAAAATCTAGACCACAAACTGCTCACTTTCACAGAGGTCTCACACAATAGGATGGGAAATCCACACAAAGTGATCCATGAATCACAACCTAGTTATTTGTAGAAATACATTTCCTAGAACCCCTTCGACAGATCTTTTGAGTTTTAACAGAAAAAAAATTACTACTCAATCAGCGTTATACCAGAAACATGCTTTAAATTACCCACCAAAATGTCACGGCTGTTTTATGTATGCGCTGTTTGTGCAATGACTGATAACAGCGTAATGCTGCAAGACTTTTAATAATCCCTGCCAACGTAAATGGTCCAAACCTTACAAGAACTCACCTTTGCAGCTGTCTCACAAGTTGATTCAAAGCCTCTTGAAGCGGTGTCTGTTCCACTTCTGAACCAAAAAAGACAAAGGGGAAATAAAGGAACACCATGCATACACAACATCCTATGATTCTTAAAGTCTCACTCTAATGTTAAGATTTTCAGATGAGACACTGGCATGCCATTTTAAATGCAATCAACGTAATCGGGAGTCTGCTTCCCCTGTTATAATAAAATCCTAAGCAGAGTTACAAAGTCCATTAAAGTCGATCGACTTAGAAGACTGCTAACTGAGTTTCCGACGGTTAGTCTTTGAAATACTTCAGATGTGTTTGCCCTTAACCACAGGCTCATTCTGAAAATCCCATTCTGCCAAAGTCCCACTCTTGCCACACATTTTCAATGAATGGTTACAAACATAACTTTATTTATTTTTGGAAATACAAACACATTTAGGTGCACAAAAATAAACCCAGTTTCGGAGGTCAGCTGTGTTGGTCTGCAGTAGAACAGACAGATTTTGAGACCAGTAGCGCCTTAAAGACCAAGATTTTTTTGGAGGATGAGTCTCACTTTTTGTCAGATACCAAAAACGAACCGAATAAATTTGAATCAAATCAGAGTACTCAGATGCCGGTCAATTACAGTTTGGCGCAGTGGTTAAGTGCGCGGACGCTAATCTGGGAGAACCGGGTTTGATTCCTCACTCCTCCACTCGCAGCTGCTGGATGACCATGGGCAAGACATCGTTCTCTCAGAGCTGTTCTCTCAAGAGCAGTCCCCAAAAGAGCTCCCTCAGCCCCGCCTACCTCACAGGGTGTCTGTTGTGGGGAGGGGAAGGGAAAGGAGTTTGTAAACCGCCCTGAGACTCCAAGTGAAGGGCAGGGTATAAATCCAATCTCTTCTTCTTCTTCTATACATTTTGATTATTTATTTCACTTCTCCCCTGCCTCTCTCCCTAATGGGGACCCAACATGGCTTACTGTGTTCTCTTCTCTATTTTACCCTCACAACATCAACCCTGTGAGGTTGATTACTTGGGGGGGTTAAAAGTGGGAGGGCGTCTAATGTCCTGGCCCCACTGGTGGACCTCCTGATGGCACTGGTATTTCTGGCCACTGTGTGATACAGAGTGTTGGACTGGATGGGCCTTTGGCCTGATCCAACATTGGCATCTCTTATGTTCTTATGATTAGGCTGAGAGTGTGACCAGCCCAAGGTCACCAAGAGCGCTTTCATGGCACAGTGGGAATTTGAACCCAGGTCTCACTCTAACCAATACATTGCGCTGACTAACGATGGAGAGAAGAGAAATCACTACTAAAGATACAGTTTCTGTTTTGTTTTGCCATTTGTTTCAACGTACTGGATGAAAAACACTTGTAATCCTTTTGCACTGTAAACTTTGTTACCTACTGAAGAAGACTTCTGACCAAATATAAGTTTAATAAATAGACCCATTTGATGAAGTTGTTAAATATCAATTTAATAAATATGGTTTTTACCTTCTTGTTTGGCTAAACTGCTGGCCAGTGGTTTATCTGGGGGCAACTCCAGTCTTATGGTGTTTTGGCCTTTCAGGTCTCTTTCTCCTTCACTTTCTCCGCGGTCTTTATCTCGTTTCTTTTTATCTTCCTGAGGAGAATTATAAGTCAAATTACATGGTGATGCATCATTATGAGCAGTCGTGATGTACCGTTTGTTTGTTCACTCGAGCTGGATATTAATTATGGGAATGGAAAAGAGCCACACAGATCTATGCCTTATGTGCTGTCTCCACCTACTGGAAGGTAACACCAATTCGAGTCAATAAAGGGACACATAATATTTAAAAAACACATGGTCCCTGATACACCTAGGATACTGTCTCATCTCCTAACTACGGTTTGCTGAAATGGATGCAGTATTTAGATAAACAAAATGATCCATTAAAACTCTGTTATAAAGCAGGCTATACTTTTAAACTTAAAACCACAACCATAACTTTGTGTCGGTTTTATTTTTCAGCACACCTGGCCGCTGTTTTGATATCTTTCATACAGTCAGGTGTGTAAAATAATGGACAAACCTCCTGTTCATCAGAAACCTTTCTGACTCATCAGATGGATGTGTTTATTGAACCTCAAATAGGAAGATACAGTTTAGAAACCTTCTATTGTAACAGTTTTACTAATTAGATTTTCTGTACCCGCAGGACCAGGGTCTTTTGACCCTGATGCAGAGATTATGAAACTCCCTCCCTTGGAAATCAGTCTTGTCCAGCCTGTGATGTTGCTGCAATACCCACAATGCTTTCTAAGACAGTCTTTGGAGATCCAGGGTAGTTTGATTGATTATCTGCACTTCCACCTGCGTCTGTGTTTATTTGGCCAACTATTATTGATTTTGACTTTTTCCCCCTTGGATCAGTTGCTAATGATTTCCATGTTTGTAGTTTTTATGTTTGTAGATAACCACTGTTTATTGATCTGGTTAGCCGCCTTCTGGACTCTATTCAAAGAGCAGGGGATTTTTAATATAATTTTAAATTTAAAAAAAAAATATCACAGGATAGCTGTCAGCGAGAGTAGACTAACATTAATGTTAGCTATGAACTGGTGCTTTTCTGCTTTACTAGTCCTGCGCTGTGATTTTAAATTTTTATTTTTATTTTAGTTACAATGGAATCATTAGTTTGCTCATGATTTTAAAAGCTCGGGATCGATAGTTTTCTATGTGTGCGATGTTCCGTATCATGTTTGTAGATTAATGTTGGGCGCGGACAGCTGCTGTAATGAATCATCCTTCAGTGGTTTAAAAGAAAGCATTTTAGCAGAAATGCTAAAAGAACAACTTTATATTTGATACCAGGCACAATGAGCACAGAAAACCATGGTCACTACACCTTTAAAAGGATATTATAGCTTTGGAAAAAGTGCAGAAAAGGGCAACTCAAATGATAAAAGGGTTGGAACACTTTCCTTAGAAGAAAGGTTAAAGCACTTGGGGCTCTTTAGCTTGGAGAAACGACAGCTGAGGGGTAATATGATCGAGGTTTACAAGATTATGCATGGGATAGAGCAGGTAGAGAAAGAGGTACTTTTCTTCTTTTTTCACAATACAAGAACTCACGGGCACTCCATGAAATTGCTGAGCGGTCGGGTTAGAACGGATAAAAGGAAGTCCTTCTTCACCCAAAGAGTGATTAACACATGGAATTCACTCCCACAGGAGGTGGCGGCGGCTACAAGCATGGACGGCTTCAAGAGGGAATTGGATAAGCATATGGAGCAGAGGTCCATCAGTGGCTATTAGCCACAAGGTATAGATAGGGGCTCTGGGGCAAGTGATGCACTGTTGGGGGGGTGTCAACAGTGGGAGGGCTTCTAATGTCCTGGCCCCACTGGTGGACCTCCTGATGGCACATGGTATTTTTGGCTACTGTGTGACAGAGTGTTGGACTGGATGGAAATCTAATTAAATTGAATAATTACACTGCAACATCATCTGCACAAATAAACGAACACGTGAAAGACTATGGGCTGGATGACTGTACCAAAGACCACCCGAGCAAATAATTTTATAAAGGCCCCCCAACCCCCCAAAATTCCTTGCTTTAGAAACTACCTTGACTTTTCTCTTTCTTTTTTCCTTTTCTTCTCCGGGAACTTGCTTTTCTGCTTTCTTTCTCTTCTTCCTTTTCTTGTCTTTGTGTTTTTCATGTTCATTTTTGTCATCATACAGTACAGGATCGGGTACTGAACTCTGTGTAGAAAGTTCAGCAACTTCATTTCCTCCCACTTTTAAAACAAGCTTTAAGGGTTTCTCGACATAGTCTTGAAAGAGGACAAGAAATGGGAAACCTGGTTAACACTAAGACATAATCTGCAACACTTAGAATCAAGTTAAAAGCATATAGGTACTTCAAGTTGCAGTTTAAACAGCATAGCTAAGTAAAAGACAAATACAGGAAAATGCTATAGGCCAGTGGTGGCGAACCTATGGCAGGGGTGCCAGAGGTGGCAGTCAGAGCCCTCTTTGTGGGCACACGTGCCATCGCCCCAGCCAGGCCCAGACCATCATTAAAGTGTCGAATTCTCTGCCAAATAATTTTAAGTAAATGAAAGCATTTGGGATTACTTTCCTTACTTTGTTCGGATCATCTTAAGTTACTGTATGAGTTGTTTTTTTCTAAAGTAAAACCTCAGTATTCAGGTTAAATTGCCATGTTGGCACTTTGCGATAAATAAGTGGGTTTTGGGTCGCAGTTTGGGCACTCGGTCTCTAAAAGGTTCACCATCACTGCTATAGGCTGATCTAAGATCTACTGGTGTGAACTGGCTGGCAAAAGAAACAAAAGACATTCTGTTCACTAAGTTTCATGTAGATTTTCAATACGTTGATCTCTGCAGGAAAGTTTCAACAGCGGAACAGAACGGGTCTGGAGACCAAGTCCTATGAGGAAAGGCTGAAGGAGCTGGGTATGTTTAGCCTGGAGAGGAGACAACTGAGAGGTGATATGATAACCATCTTCAAGTACTCGAAAGGCTGTCATATAGAGGATGGGGTTGTTTTCTGTTGCCCCAGATGGTTGGACCAGAACCAACAGGTTGAAATTAAATCAAAAAGTTTTCGGCTAAACATTAGGAAGGACCTCCTGACAGAGCGAGTGGAACAGGCTTCCTCGGGAGGTGGTGGGCTCTCCTTTGGAGGTTTTCAAACAGAGGCTAGATGGCCATCTGACAGCAATGCTGATTCTGTGAACTTAGGCAGATCATGAGAGAGTGGGCAGAAAGGGTTGCTTCAGTGCTTAGTTCTTGTGGCCCTTTCTTACATGCCCAGGGAAATCCTGATTGCCACTTTGGGGTCAGGAAACAATTTTTCTCCAGGCCAATTTGGACGGAGATCCTGGAGGTTGTCATCTTCTGGGTATTGAGCAGGGGTCACTGTGTGTGTGTGTGTGTAGTAACTGTGAATTTCCTGCATTGTGCAAGGGGTTGGACTAGATGACCCTGGAGGTCCCTTCCAACTCTATGATTCTATGAACCTTCCCACTCCTTCCCTCCCAATGATCTTCACAAATGCTGCTGAAGGTGATGGGGACCCTGCAAAATGATATGAGGAAGTTCTGCAGTGCAAAGGATGTCTGAAAGTTACATCCCCAAGTAACTGAAATGTTGCTGGTCAAGGGGAAAAAACACCATGTACAGAAACGTACTAATATTTATCAAGTGCTTGAAAAAATGAACTGATCATAACTATATCCTGGTTGTGAGCCAGTTTGTTGTAGTGGTCAGGAGCACAGACTCTATTCTGGGAGAACCAGGTTTGATTCCCCCACGCCTCCACATGCAGCTGCTGGTTCTCTCAAGGGCAGTCCTCTCAAGAGCTCTCTCAGCCCCACCTACCCTCACAGGGTGGGGAGGGGAAGGGGAAGGAGATTGTAAGCCTCTCTGAGACTCCTTGGGGTGGTGGGCGGGGTATAAATCCAATCTCCTCTTCTTTTATTGTTTACTTTTCGCCCACCTGGAGCTTAGCAGGGCTTACAGTTTGGGCTTACCCAACCTCACTGTGAGGATAACATCGAAGGGGAGGCAGAGCCTCTATGTGGAAGAAAAGCAGGACCAAAATAGGATAGATTTTTTGGGGGGAGGTAAGGTTTTCCCTTGGAGCTGCAGTGGCTCCAGGGGTTAAGACGCTGAACTGCAGGCTGTGGAAGGTCAGTAGTTCAGCATTTCGAGACCCGAGTGTGCCGCATGACGGAGTGAGCTCCCGTCTCTAGTTCCAGCTCCTGCCAACCTAGCAGTTCGAAAGCAAGAAATTGCAAGGAGATAAATAGGGACCACTTCGGTGGGAAGGGAACAGCGTTCCGTGCGCCTTTGTGTTTAGTCATGCCGGCCACATGACCACGGAAACGTCTTCGGACAGCGCTGGCTCTGTGGCTTTGAAACGGAGATGAGCACCGCAACCCTAGAGTCGGATTTGACTGGCTTTTGAGCAAGGGAACCTTTACCTTTAGGTTTTCCCTACCCCTCAGAACCCACCCACAGCCTCAAACGTCTCTCTCTCCCCAGTTGCTAGCTTGTTTGGAGAATCCTCCTCCCCGCATTGTAAGCGCCTTTCTTTTGGCCGAGGGGTTCTGCCTGAGCGACCTGACACCCACCAACCCGGTGGCTCACAGCTCCCACCTTCAACCACTACGCCGCGTGACGTCAACGGGCGGGCGGGGCCACGTCCCCGGCGTCACGCGGCCGCCGGCGAGAGAGACCCCGCCCACCGCCGCCTCAGCCCCCCTCAGAATTCGCTCGCTCCCCCTCGGGACGAAACCGCCGCGTCGCCCTCAGCGAAAGGGGCGGGGGCTACCTCCCGCTT